CAAGTAAGAAAAGTGCCATCTAAATAGTCTGTTGTTACATGAAAAGCTCTCACCTCCAGCCCTCTAATTTGTCTACAAAAGGAACACTCAGCATGCTATAGCATACTTGGCTGATACTGAAGATGAAGTATGCCATTGATATTTATTAGCTTCTTTCAACACAGTTTCTAGAAGGGGTTCATGTGGATATATTGAATAGAACAGACCATATTTGATCATCAACGTCTACATATTTAAATTGAAAAATCACTACAAATTTTAAGGCCACTATGGTTGCTGTTGCTTCTAAGAATTTGAACATTTGATGCCTGTGCTGCTTCACTTCTGAGTTCCACAGTTTCTTACTTTTTTTTTTTTTTGCTAATGCATTCTCTCCCACATTTATGCCTCTGGGTGAATTCTTAAAATAGTAAATGGGAGAATTTTGCTCTTGCTATTTTAGTCACTTGGCTTTACCCAATCCCTTTTAATCTTTCCCTTGACACTTTCCCAGTATCCGCTGCAGTCGTTTCCATTTGCAACGCTTTTGCTTTCTGTGATCATCCCTTTCCTCAGTTCGAGTCTTCCCAAGGATGCTTTTTCCAGGAAGCTTAGCAACATAAGCTCTCCATCCTAAGTGTCTGTTTCTGGTTTAGAATTGACATAGTTTAGTGGCACTGTGCCTTCAAGTCACCTAGTTAGCCACGCTGGTGATCAGTTCACACTGAAATTGCTAGCTGAACCATCCGGATGATGTGGTGGGGCTATACCTGTCCTGTGTGTTGTTCTGGATACTCCATTACAGGAACTCTGAGAACAGCATGACCGCAAGGATTTCTCAGCAAGAAGGATCTGCAAAAGCTACATTTCGAGCATTACCCAGAAGAATTCAAAAAGCTTAGTAGCATCTGAAAGGCTTTTCAATTATTCTGTGAAGAGCAGGAAAAGTATTTGTAATATATCTTCCTTCTTGGCATATTGCTGTAGTGCAACATGTTTTACTAGGATTTTATATGCCCCAAGAAAGTACCTATGCATACTTCTGCGCTTATGCCATGAAATTTGTTGCTATGGAAATATCAAAAACAATCTATGACTAAGAAAGGGCAAATCCGTTCAGGCAAAATAGTATCGAGGTTCAATCTTCATAACAACAGTCAAAATGAATTGTAGCCATTTTCATGCTTTATATTGGCTCAATATCTCTCCTGTGTCATTAAAGTCTTTTAGCCACTTATATCCAATGCACATAGGCTTCAGTTCACTCAGTTCAATGCATAATTTGAGCACTGCAATTCCAGCAGCATCTTTGAGAAATAAATTTAAACTAAATCAGATTAAATTCTCCTTAATATTCTTTGCCTTCTCTTGCTTCCTTCAAATTTCTTGGCACAGAAGCATTTTCTAGATTAATAGCAGCATTGCCTGCACTACCTTCCTTCTAAACATTAAAACTTCAGATGATTTATTGCTTCTGACATGTAGAGTGCACTCTGAGGATTAACTGAATGGAAACCTTCAGATCTGGGGAATTTAAGAAGAGCAAAAACATCTTCCAGCAGAGTGTGTCTTGGGTCCTGCTGTCTGAGCAGCTTCTCCTGCTGGAGAAAAGAGCTGACCTCAGGCAAACGACTGTGGGAGAGCACGTAAGGTAGGCTTGCTGTGTGTTCACATGCATGCGTCTTCTCTTCTGGATATCACATTTTCTTTTACTGTCAGAGATTTTTCTGCGTTATAGGCTTTATAAAGTTAGTCCCTTGGAAACAAAGAAAGAGCCCTAATTTCCAGCATCTCTATCTCCAGTTAAGATAACAGACCTCTGGATGACTGCATTGTATGACACAAATCCCACAATTAAAAATAGGTGTAACATCTATCAATAACTGAAATGTCTCATGGAGAGTAATTTGAAACCAAGACCCAAAATTACATCTTAAGGGAATACATTAACAAAGGATTATAATTATAATTGATTTAAATGTTTATCTGTCTCCCCTTCCTATTTATTTAATTACCATGAATTTAAGTATGATTGCAGAACATTCTTAACCAAGGATACTGTTCTGTTTGTAAAATAGATTTAAAGATTTAACTATTCCCTGATGAGCCCGACACACAAAAGCTCAGATTATCCTGGGAGAATAAAATTGTGCAGAACTGCCAAGAGGGCATCTTTTAGAGGTAAATATGGATATTGTGTGAGGCTAGATGAAAAAAACTAACTATACTAACACCTTCCAGAGCCTAAAGACAGAAACTATTGAACATGACAAAGTCACACTTCTCCTCAAAAGAGCTGAAGTACCATTTCTTTGTTGGGTTCCAAATCTATTATATAATTAAAAAGACAAGAGCTATTTTGAAAATTCTGGAAACAATAAGTTTTTGGTTTAAATGATAAATTGTCTGTTTAGTAAGTGACTGTATACTTTGACCAAGAGGCAAAGGAAATCTCATTCACTCTGCCAACACATCAAAGAGAATGTAACTACCTGGAAAATTACACAGTGTAAGAACACATGGATTAAACTGATGCAAAAAATATGAGGTCAAATAAAGTGTGTTCCCATAAAGATATCCAAGACCAAATTGCCATAGGAATAACCAAAAGTGCTGCAGGGTAAAATTTTCAAAAGTGTTCATGTAACTTAAAATGCCAGTCTTGTTTTTAAGTTAATAGTTCTTTAGAAATACGTGTCTTTTACAAAGGAATTATTTTTCTTATATGCACCTACAGATGTTATAGAAATAGAATTCACCATCCTAAGTCAGAAAAGTCAGTTTTGAAAATTTCTTCTCATTGCCTAAGGGCTTGCAAAACAAAGACTTTGCCTCAGTATAGCTACAGAACTCCATGCCCCAAATGAAAGATTGATGCATTACTCATACCAGTTCTTTCTACTACATTTCGTTGCAAAAGTTACTAATGAAGGTAATCATGACATGGTCACACACTGGTATATAAGAAAAAAAAATCTGGGAAAGAACTTAAATTAAAACCAGGATAATAAGACAGAAGTCAGAAAGCTAACATGATACAACACGGAAAGTCACCAATTTGATTCACCACATGACTCAAATCCTCTTTAATAAAACAGATATAAGAATATGAAACAATAAAATGTCATTATTATAAAATGCAGTTTTCAGTGAAACCTTTTTATAAATAAATACTAAATCTAGAAACCCATGATGGTTTCACAAACTAATTTTAGTCGTATGAATTCTTCTTACCTGTTATAGTTGCTTTGTTGATAGATGGTTGGTTACACATTGGTGACCGTCTGTTCAAAAGAAAAGGAAAAAAGGTATAAGCCTCATAAACTTAGAGACGACTGAATCCTTGATCAGTATAATAGAAAATACGTTTCCTTGGGAAATTCTTTGGGACTGGAACACCCTGGCATTGCCAGGGTAAAAGAAAAAGCTCGTTTAGAACAGATATTTTTTTCAAGTATAGAAGGGAACTCACAACTGACTCTGTAGATCAGGAACTCTGAAAGAGTAGGAATTTACAAGTTAATGAAATACCTGCCTAATCATACCTAGAGCTTATACCTAGCTTGAAGTTTGATTTTTATGCATAGCTATAGTTATTCTAACATGGCTTGCACTTCCCATGTTCTCTGACCTGCAATACTTTTTTTTTTAAAATTATTTTACACTCTATGATTTTGCATGTACATTTCACACATTATTTTGTGTATACCTTTCTCAATAGTCTTTAGGGCAGACAGCTCAGTGGACTGCTTTGCCCACTGAAGAAAGCTAGAAGTTGCTAGGGAAGTTGCCCCTCCCCACCCCCAGCGGGTGCCACACAGGGTCTGCATATTCCAACCAAGGGGGCTGGAAATATCTTTTAGTGGCACTGCATATTCAACGGTAGGCAGCTGTCTTTGGAAAGCTAATTGTAAGTTCTAGAGACGCACAGGGTGAGGGAAATGACTCCGCTACAAAATTTGCCAGTGTAACCTAACTTTAATGTTAACTGTGACGCTGTAACACGATTGAAGAAAGATCATATTTATAATGTCTCATCTATAATCATGAACCACTGTGGGTAAGTGGGATGTCATTATCTTGGATGAGTTAGGCAGAGTTCTAGGTTCAGATCATGTGAGTAGCTCACAATGAGTGTAGCTGTCTGCTCACTTTGCTTCATTTGCAAGACTCAGACTCTGCCTGAATGATCATCTATGAACGATCTTTGACGCATGACTAATTTATTGAAAATCATATAAATTGCACAAAACCACTCCAAGTTTATGCAAGGGCAGCAATGCAAGACCAATTAGTAGGCAAGGGGGCTGCTGTCTCAGATATCAAGTATAGCATCTTCAAGGGATTAATAAACTCGTTACTCATCCAGATGTTTTATGCAGGTTTCGTGACACAGACTGAAATATATAACATCTAGTCATTATTCTTAGTTTACATTTAAAAAATATTACTGCAAAGAGTTCAGTGGCCAAAAATTTACACTCACTTGCTGGGTGCCCGATCTTGTAAATTGGTTAATGCAGCAAAGTTATTCCGTACAGTACGCAGGCTGGCCAGCACCTGGAACAGACAAAATGGTTTCAGTCTACATTTCTGCACAGGTGAGCCTGGTTTATCTCCGCTGCACTGTGCTGAAAGAAAAAGGAAAGGACATTGCGAAACAACTGTAAAAGGTTTTGAGGGTTGGTTTGTCTGAAGCCTTTGACCATTATTTAACAATAACATGTCTGTAATACAAGGGCAATAGTTTATTTCTTTTTTTTTCCCTCATAAAGAACTCATTATTTGTTTAAAGGCAGACTTACTTGAAGAGGAGGAAAGTTTTTCACAGAATACTACTTAGTTCTTTAAAATGACCGTAAAAGCATTCGTGTTTGTAAGATAATAGCCCATTCAAGCCTAATACTTCATGCATAAGAAGTGATTACAGAATTTTCCATTTGCAGTTCAGCCTCCACAAACCTCAAAGGACAAAGGGAATGAGATTATCTAGACTGTCAGAAAAAATAAAGTGGCTCCTTTAAGGGGCACAGTTGATTTGGGAACTTAGTGCAGAAGGCCAGAGTAAGAGAAAGGTATCACCTGAGCAGGTGGGAAATGTCTGCAGGCTTTTAGCAGCCTTGCACATTGGGAAGGACAACATAAATGAACTACTAATTTTCTGGACTTAATTTCAGGCCAGACAGCAACTAGTGGAGGTAGTAGAGGAGGGTCTCCTTCTTGTAAGAGGCATATGCACTCTCTTCTGAAGGCAGCTGGGTAAATGAAACAAATTTTGTCCTATGTAAAGATAATAACATGCATCTCTGACTAGGGAGCAGCAGTTCAGCTGATGTCAGAGAGGAGCCACAAGTTGTTTGGAGCCAGACTGGGAATGCGAGGAGGCAGCAACACTAATCACTGGTGTGTCTTTGAAGGAGTTGCCCATTGTTTCTCAGCCCTGACTGGACTGGTTCCCTGGTGAACTTGTCCTTGGAATAACAGTGGCAGGAATGGCAATTTGGGTTCCAGAGGTCTGAGTCGAGGAGGATACAACCATCTTTTCATAACCCCTGAAACTGATACATGAGGTAGGACAGGGGTAGGAGACTGAAGAGATAAGAAGGATTTAATGAAAACTCATAACAGACAGAAAATATTGAGGAGATAATAATGACTGGCAGTGTTCAAGCTCTTGTAGATAATTCCCAAATGAATTAAGATAATAAAAATAAAAATATATTTGTTACCTAATTAGACTATTAATTTTGTTGTTTTCCTTTCCAAAGATCAGGAGACAAACTCACTTATTTTACATTCAACATGGAATAAAAATAATTATATATACCATCAAATTTGCATGCCCAGGGTACAGTGATGGTAACAAATGTCGTATTTGGATGTTGGATATACACAGATGGAAATTGGGTGTGAACTGAGCAGAAGGGAAAAGAAGACCTTGGAGTTTAAAAGTTCAAAAATGAATACATAAAATATGAAGAAAAACTGCTGAAGTATGAAAACATTGTAAAAGGTAAGGATGAGTCTGTCCTATTAAGGTAAGACACACATTTTAGTGACTGCAGTCCATTTTCAGTTCTCTTTGAGGAATCTGCCTGGGTTCAGTTTATGTGTGCCGGGATGCCGAGAAGGCTTGTACATGCTGGTAGTATCAGAGAAACATAGCTATGTCATTCCCAGAGCTATCTGAGGCCATGAAAAAATGTAGTCGGTTTTCCTGGCTGCAAGTTCCTACTCAATAAGCCCTGTTGGACTCAAGCTGGCTGCATAGTCAGGTGCAGTGAGAACTGGGAGGACGTACAGAGGTAGCTAAGTGACTCCTTGGTGAGTGATCTCAGGTACAGCTGTGCCGATCAGCTCTGCCTTTGCTGGACTGGAAGGAATGACTCTGTACCTGCTGCGCAGGGCTGAGTTTCACAGAGGTTAGTAGGCTGGCACTATGCCACGTGAACACATGAACCTAGCTGAGGTACGTATTGGATCTGAAATAACAGGACAGACCTGGGGTGCTGGGGAAAGAAGTGTGCAGAGCTGCACAGGGCCAGTTACAAGTGGAGGCTAATGAGCCTTCCTGGACCAATGATCGGGTCCCTGAAGAGCTGCGAGGGATTCTCTCTACCCTGCCCACCACTATGTGCATTGACCAGATTTTTCCACTGTCTAAGATATTAATCTCTTCTTTTTTAGAAAGCAGATACTTGATTGTTTGGTGTGTATGTCCTTCTATTTGTTCTTCTTGCAGGCGAGGTAACTGTTTTGTAGGTGCACAGGTGAAATGCCCAGCATCTGCCCAGCATCCCAGCTGCTTTACCATACAAGCACATACCTTGGCAGTTTCTGCAAGTGCAAGGATGCACATATATAGCAATGAATGTAAAAGTCACAACAAAAACTTTGGCCATTGGCTACAATGGAGCTAAACAGCTTGGTTTATTGTATGAAGGTTTTAATATTTAGAAGTCTATTATATTATAGTATAAGTACATAGAGTAATATTTAAATTCTTATTTATAATTTACTTTAAGTGGCAGTTTCTTTGTCCACAGAGGTTCCACTGGTGCTTGATGTTTCTAGAGTTAGATTTGCGAGCAAAGCAATCAGTCACCTGTAAACCTTGTTAAGTTCGATCCCTAAGTAAATGCTATGATTTTTGAAATCAAGTTATACACAAACATTTGCAAGTGACTACAAAAATCAAACTTTTTTGATGATAAAAACCTACAGAATTGGTCTTTAATTTTCAAATCACTTGAATGATTTTATTTTGAAAAGCAAAATTCTCTGAACAATTAAATTACAGCAGTTGCTGTCTACTACAGTATAGGGAAGTGCAACTAATAATATCCTTGGGATAGATTTTTTAATTTTAGCTAACAAAATTCCGTTCTGGTAAAAATAGTTAATTATCTTGTCCCGGGGCCAGATTCTCTGTGGGAGACGCAGCATGCCACCCTGCCTCCAGTTAAGGAATGCAGCCATGCAACCACAGTGATGTGCTGAATAGTAGCTGAAATGCTAAAACTGGAACTATTACCACCAGGTGGCTCATGATCTGATGAAACAAGTCCCGATCAACTGAAGAAAATTCGGACGGTCTGAAATAACTGGAACATGTGTTCCACATGCCATGATCTACTGCCACTGGTAAGGCCTGAATGGATTGAAATGGTGCTTTGGCTGTTTGCAACATAGAAATGCATTTACATGATGAAATACTGCTCTAGGAAGACATTGAAAGGGTAAGTGTGCTATGTGTAGAAATTGTACTGCCATATGGAATCCAATTTCTGAAGTCCTGAGTGAGGTCCTAATTCTGCTCACGTAACTCAGAGGGACAGATCTGCAGATGCAGTCCGTGAGCAGGCCCCACTGGGAGATAGGATTTTGCATATTCAAAGCATTTTTAGCTAAGGGCTACATTTTTCCTAAGAGTCTAATCAGATGTCACTTCCCCTCTATCAAGCACACTCTCTCAACTGCATCTCAGTTCCCCCCGTGTCAGGGAATGTGACGTGTGATAACTCACCCTCTGAGTGCTCTTTCTCCAGTTCAATGCAACTGAAAACAGGCTGATTAAAACCACTGCTAACAGGGTTTTACGCTGAAAGACTAAAAGCTTTCAAATAGTCGATTACGGCACCTTGGTGCAAGTAGCAAAAACATTCAACTGCTCCTGCTCTGATTGCTGAAGCACGTCCATCAACACCAACAAGAATACGAAACCGTCCTTAAAACAAATAGCATGTTTTGTCCCAGGAAAAAGTATCCATAAATGGGGTGTAATATTTGCTGTTTTTCTAGGTATACTACAAGCTGTGTTATCTATGTGATATAATTGGTAATAAAAATTCAGATGACAATGAACAGGAACTCAACTACAGTAAATATTATGGGATTGCTTGACCACCACACAATCTGTATTTTTTCTGTGCTCAAGATTTTGGGCTTTTATGTTTCCTCAGGAACTAAAACCAGAAGTGGTTTTACTTTTTCTCCTCTTGTTTTTCATGTAATTTCTTCTCTTCCATTACTGTTGAAGAATATTTAGCATTTGAGAGATCTTAAAGTATTCTTAGAAAAGGCCCTGGCTTAATCTTTTCTCTGCTAATAAAACATGAAGGTATTCTTCATATTAAGGATTTGATCAGCCAGTGTCTTTTAAACACTGTATCTGTTTAAAATATAATTAAATATAATTAAATAACCTATCAAATGAATATTAATTATTTTATCAGCTGATCATTAGACCAAAGCAACCTGCATATTCAGACTGAAGCTGGACACCTCCTTCTTCTTTGAGACTGCTGTGTGACTCAACCTTTCTCTTTCCATTCACCTTTAATCACATATGAGTTCCAGATTTATTTTTTTCGCCTGTAGTTACACTGAATTAGCTTTCATTCCTGTCTATTACAAGGTAAAACCTATCATTATGAGTTTAAGGTATATCAATGTTAACTTTTCATGCATGACAAGACAGCTCTATTGCTAAAAATTGTGGAGTCTCAGTCTAAATTATATAGATTTTTGACCTGATATTTTATAAAACAGAATCTGAATGAAGAAATCAAAACAGAGATGGTTTTGTAAAGAAATAAGGATTCTGGGTAAAATTTATCTAAAAAGTACCTTGTATTGAACACATAGAAGATGTTCAAAAGGAGAAATTGTAATTATAAAAAGCAGAACAACGGAGAGCACAGATTTGTCTCCATCATGACTGTCTGCTACGGTATTTGAAAAGAGATTGGTCGAAGGTGTTCACTGTGTTGCTGCGCTTCAACTTTTCAGACATTCAAAAAGCATTAAAAAGAGAGGTGTAGGTAACAGACTGTGAGGTTTATGACTCTCTGTTTAGACAGTTTTTTCCTGTTTCAAGTAAACATATCTTACATAATATCTTGTATATATATCTTATACAATATTAACAACGGAAAACAACTGGTTTGGCCATTTGGCCTTTAAAATGCAAGATCGTGCGAGAAATATGGCGAAATTGTGCCTACCTGAGCAAATGGTGTCACAATCAAGTCATCTCCATGTCTGAAAAAATGAGCAGAGTTGGAAGTTAGGTATTACTGAAAACTTATCATACTGCTTTAACAGAAAGAAAATCAGGTTTTACAATGCACTGTAGATAACTCCAGGTTTATTCTTCAGCAGTTACTCACTACTACCGCTTTGCGCATCCTTTGAAAAGTAAATACCGACTTAGTTATTGCCCAGCTGCCTGGCATGTCTACGGGATGGCTGACGAGCCAGCCGCTTTCTGCGCTGCGGGTTGGACAGGTGACCCATCTGCAGAGATTTCATCCCGAAGGATGGAGGTGAAAATAGTGAAAGTGACCCCTTTGAGGGTTACCCGCGGGTTTGCAAGCGCTGGGCGGGCGAGTAGCGGCAGACGGCCGGGCAGCGCATTGCAGGCGGATGAAAACCCAGTAAAACTTTCAAACTGACTCACACCTCTCCAGCTATAGGGGGTGTGACCGAGTGTGTGCTGTCACTGTGGCAACCTCACCCACACCACGGGGTGACGTATAGGCACGGTGTTGGATGACACACTGTAGGGGAGAAGGGAGGAAGGGAAGGAGGGGAAAGAGGGGCTCCTTCGCTTCAGCACTGAAAGCTGCCACTTGGAACAGTTTCCAAAAAATAACGTTTTGTGAATACAAGTAAGATGAAGGGCTGTTGATCTTAAGGGTAGCATCTGTAGCACTGAGGATATGGAGTCAGGCCTCGCCAGAGGGCCACAGGGACTGGGAAAACTTGGAGTTTTCGGTTATCATATGTAGTATACAGCAGCAATCAAGATGAAAAGAAATTTTCCAAAGACAAAGATCCAACATGACTTGGTTTTTAATTCTCCTCTATTTTCCTGCAGTGAATTTATCATGATGACTTACCAGTTGCAGCTTTCAGCAGAAATAACATTGCTTTGGTGCTATTTTAATGTTATTTAAGTTTAAGCATAAAATATGAGTATTTAACAACAGATCTGAGGTCCATGAAAATGTAATCAGAAGAAGGCTTTCTGATAAATGAGGAAACATGATTTGTGTTTGAGTTGCTACAACATCATTCTTATAATTTATATACTGTCCACAAAACAGTGATGTTTTTGCAAGTATTGCAAGAAACTAATAAAAAAAGCAGTAATTGTTACCAGAGAGCCTGTAAAGATGAAACAAAACTTCCCAATTTTCAAAATTACCGTAATGCTTAATATCTGTGGAATTATTTTTATTACCATCTCTTTTATTCCTGTTAGTTGAAATAGAAAAATACATTTTTACAGATCGTGAAAGAAGTCTGAACTTTTAACAAGGTCTTTGCAGGAGCGGTTGGAATAAGGTATTGCTTCAAGTGATACCACAGTCCCAGCCTGGCTGGAAAGCGTGTAAGCCTGATCCTTATATCAAACCAGAAGAAATACAGCATCCTTGGGAGGAACTCAGAGGCTTTAATTGCCCAATGAAGCCAAATCCAATCAGTTGTTATAGACATCATGAATCAGCCCAGGGTATTAACAAGGGAGTTAATAACGAGTTGGGATTAGCACCTCTTCGCATTTTCATTAGGTCATGAAAACATCAGGAAATGCTATCATTTCTGGTCATGATTGCTTAATGAGTTACACAGGTACACAAAGGCTTCAGCAGAAGACAAGCCACATTCACCTTTTCCTTTTCTCTCCTGACCTCCACTTAAACAGCCATACTGTGAATATGTATGCTCCCTTCACTTGCAGACAAATTATGCTCTTTGTCTTCAAATTCTGTGAAATGCTATTAGCTGCTGTGTGACAGCTGGCTTACCTGTTCCTCAGTAAAATCTGTTCACTTCTTCTCTTTTATAAAGAATATTTTTACTGTTTGTGTATAGCTACTCAATTTTCTCTTCTGTTTTGACACTTAGAAGAGGCACAGCTGTGTAGAGGAAGGAATCCTGCATTAGTCATCTGAATGACTTCTGCAAAGATAGAACAGCCTAAAGCCTCAAGTAAATTATTTGCCATTCTTCCTCACGCCTACCCACTTCATCTGTTACTCAGGTGGTTTAGGCAAAAAGCAAACAAAGGGTTGAGCAAATTCTTAGAAATGAGTGTGTTTTCTAAACGATCAAATTATGCACAGAAACTACATCTCAAATCAATATGCAAACCCATTTTTTACTCATCTAGTCTAATTCCCACAATTGGAAATGATGAAGGGGTGGAATCCTGGAGTTGAAAAGTTTTACAAGTAGCAGCAGCCCTGAACAAAGAATAAAAATATTAAATTGTTTCTGCCTGTAAATAAGCTAGATAGAGTGGAGCTAGCTCTTTCTAGCGTCACAAGCATCTGTCAGTGGCAAACACTCTGAATGTCCAACATATGACACAAAAGCATGAAGTATTCTTCAGTGCTTCAAATTCCCAGGCAACTGCTACAACACAGCTATTAACTGTCAAAGTGCAGATTGGCAAAATGATGAAAATAGGATGGTCCTTTTCACTATCTTCTGTGGGCTTCCTTACTGAAGGTGGTATTTTCTTGCTCTTCTTTCCATTCAGTGCCCCTGTTTGCCACTCCTTGTACGCTGAGACACTTCTAAGAGGCAACTAGTACATGTTTCTGGGCTTTCTGCCCTGAAATATTTTTTTCTTTTCTATAAAATAGCATGACCTCACTCCTCTAATTTTCAAACTTCGTTCTACTTGAGCTCTTGCTGGACTGCTTTTCATTGCAGAGCACTGATAGAATACTGTATCTTGTTATTTTTTAGAGGAGACATTATTAAATACTAATTTAATGCACAGAAATCAAGCCAGGTTTTAATTTTCGCTTTTCAAATGCCCCTTGTGTCAAGAGCAACAATTCCAGAATTTATAATTATTTTGGTGAAAGCAAGATACTGAAACCATAGATATCCACAGCTTTCACAAAACAAACACGCACCAGACCCACTTGAACAGAAAAGCAATTGCATAGTGTGGTGAGTAATCTTTAATCCACATTGGGTCAGGAAATCTGGAAAAGGTGAGAGTGCTCAAAAAAGGAGCAGACACGTCTGAAGCAGTTGTGTTATTTTTTGTACAGAAGAGCAAGAACGTATGATTCAATCAAAGTGCCATTGATCCACAGGGTACTGCAGTGTAGCAAACACTACAATGTAAAAGTGTCCTTCTATTTTCTTTTCAGATGATACGGAAGCTGATAGATGATTCTGTCTGGATTCTGAACAATGTAGTGCCAAACATCTATATACAGAAGCAGCAAGAGAGAGTGTGTAAACTCTGTGCAATGTATCACAAGCTTCTAAATACTGACAGAGCTGTTAACCTTTAAGGTTAGAAGAAATTGTTCACGTCAGTGTTAGACTCTGTTAACTAGAATGCCTGGCATACTTGTTCACATCTTCTTTTTTCAAAGGAAAGACAGATATGAAAAGAATTATTTTCACATAGCCCCAAAATTTAAAATTATCAAATCCAAAATCACCAAAAAAGACTGATAAAGCACACAATAGTCCCCATGAGATGACATAAAACATAGGCCAAATTTCCATTAGCAGACCAAAGATTATATAATGCATTACACATATATATATATAATGCAAGTTATTTACTGTGTTGAAGTGATGAAGCCTGGCCTTCTGCAAATTTTCTGTATTTTGCTTCTTAACCTTTCCTATGGGATATATTTGAACTAGGCCCATATAACCTGTGATGATCTCCACTCTGAAGAAGAGATGAAAGTGCTATGCTAAGTTGGAAGTTAGATGAACATGTTCAAATGACTGTTGCCAAATAAAAAGTATAAAAATTTTGTTTCCTTTCCTCAAGATTGGCAATAATTTTTCCTTTCTGTCCCAATTATAGGACAGTAATTAACTTTAACCCCACTAAAAGGAACGTAGAGATACCTGCGTGGACTTGCAGTCAATGGCTCAATGTCCAAGTGGAGGCCAGTGGCGAGTGGTGTTCCTCAAGGGTCAGTACTGGGGCCAGTGCTATTTAACATCTTTGTTGGAGACATGGACAGTGGGATCGAGTGCACCCTCAGCAAGTTTGCAGATGACACCAAGTTGTGTGGTGTTGTGTACATGCTGGAGGGAAGGGACCTTGACAGGCTGGAGAGGTGGGCCTGTGAGAACCTCATGAAGTTCAACAAGGCCAAGTGCAAGGTCCTGCACGTGGGTCGGGACAATCCAAGCACAAGTACAGGCTGGGCGGAGAATGGATTGAGAGCAGCCCTGAGGAAAAAGACTTGGCAGTGCTGATGGATGAGAAGCTCAATATGAGCTGGCAATGTGCGCTGGCATCCCAGAAAGCCAACCGTATTCTGGACTATTTCCAAAGAAGTGTGGCCAGCAGGTCGAGGGACCCCTGCTGCCCCTCTGCTCTGCTCTCGTCAGACCCCACCTGGAATACTGCATTCAGCTCTGGAGTGCCCAACACAAGAAGGACAAGGAGCTGCTGGAACGAGTCCAGAGGAGGGCCACGAAGATGATCCAAGGGCTGGAGCACCTCTCCTGTGAAGACAGGCTGAGAGAGTTGGGGCTGTTCAGCCTGGAGAAGAGAAGGCTCCGTGGTGATTATATTGCAGCCTTCCAGTACTTAAAGAGGGCCTACAGGAAAGCTGGAGAGGGACTTTTTACAAGGGCATGTAGTGATAAGACAAGGGGAAATGGCTTTAAACTGAAGGAGGATAGATTTCGATATAGATATAAGTAAGAAATTTTTCACTCAGAGGGTGGTGAGGCAGTGGAACAGGTTGCCCAGAGAAGTTGTGGATGCCCCCTCCTTGGAAGCGTTCAAGGCCAGGTTGAATGAGGCTTTGGGCAACCTGGCGTAGTGGAGGGTGTCCCTGCCCATGGCAGGGGGGTTGGAACTAGATGATCTTTGAGGTCCCTTCCAACCCAAACCATTCTTTGATTCTACGATTAACACAAGGAGATACAGCGTGACTGCATAACTTTTGTTTCTTAATCAAGTTGGGATAATTTAATATAATAATCTAATAAGAGGAGTAGCTAGAGAGACATTCTGCAGTCCTGCTAGG